TGCTTGGCTCACTCTTTCTCCAATTTCTTAAGCCCCACTTTGTCCTGGACCTCGGCAATCCAGTCTGAAATCCCTCTCAAATATAGGTTTTATGTTTCCTACCCCTGGGTGCTTACAATACCACATCTAATTTACCAATTAATTTTGCTTAGTTCCATTAATCTTGTCTTTTGCTTATGTTCAAAATCCTTTTTCTTCCTTCAACCTTCAAAGAGAAAAGTTGACTTGACCAGGCTTGGTGTTTCTAAAAATTGCATCATTTATCTGAGTTTTGCATGAACCTTGATTCCCAGCTCACGTATACAAACACGAAGGGTAAGATTTAAGAACATTCTAAGCTTCACTTTGCAAAATTTTAATTACCTCTATCTTCCCTTCTCCCTAGAGTACAAAGCCCTTGCCAGTGGGTATCATAGCGCAGGGAAGGCAATTAAGGTTTATTGGTGGGGGGTTGATGGTCAGTTTTTGTTTTTTGTTTTTTGCTTTTTGTTTTTCTCTATAGTGTTTTTTGGTCTGTTTCCTGGGATTCATCAAAAGAATATCATGGGGACGGGGGAGAGGAAACACAACTTTGGACTCTGACCAATCCGAATTAGAATTTCAGCTGCCTGAGCCCGTTTCCTTTGTCTCCCTGGGTCTTGTGGACTGAGGTGTATGTGAGGCACCTGGCACACCACTGGATTGACAGCTGTCCCCCTGGAACCCCCTGGTCTAGCTGTGTAACCTTGAGCAAGTTACCTGAGTGATCTTTCTATGCCTTGAGGATTTCACATATAAAATGAGATAATAAGAGTCAGCCAAATAGCTCAGCGGATTAAAGCTCCTGCTTAGGCAGACGCAGGGGCTGGGGGTTTGATCCCCAGGATTGCCCTGCCAGCCCTGGCCCGGGGTGCGCTGAGATGGTGATTGAGCCTGGGCGTGATGGTGTGCACCTGTAATCCCAGCGCTTGGGAGACTGGAAACAGGAGGATCACTACGAGTCTGATCTACGCAGTGAGTCCCTGTACACCCTGTAGATCCTGTACTACATACATAAAAAAAGAAAACAAAAGTAAAATGAGATACCAACAGTACTTGACAGAACTGCCCAACCCATCAAGCTAATCTAGCGAAGTATCTGAAACCGCGGCTTGCGTCTGGTGAGCACTGCGCACGTGAGACTGTTCCTGCTGCTATCGTCGCCACTGCTTTCATCACTGCTGTCACCGGGTGCATGTTCCTACCAAGTCCCCACGCCGGGGCTGTGCGAAGGCCTTCCTGCGCCCCGCGAAGGTGCCGCAGAGATGGCACCGGCGCCCGTGTGTGAAAAGTGCGCTGAACCACTGCTCTGCTCACCGCCTCAGGACAGGCGCCTCTAGCGCCACGCCGTTCGTGCTGCTCACCGCACTTGTTTATGCTTCTTGTTTTAAGGGCTGGGCCTTCTTAACGACGGCACCATCTACAAAATTTCCCCGCAACTTCCATCCTTTAGAGTCTCCGTTTGCTCATTTGGGGCCGACACCTGCTGCGAACATTTTACAGGCGTAAGCCTTTCCTCGTCTTGTCTCCAGCACTGTTGCTAATACCTTCCTGGACTCAGTGCTTTCCAAGGAACTTAAGTTTATCGTGAATAGTTCCCAAGGCCATGTTAGGAGTAAAAGAAAAATCTATACAAAAGGCTCACTGCAGAGCCACACGCTCAGGACGCATCTTTATAAAGTGTTGCTATTAAATATTTTATAAATTATCGGGGGCCTGCCCCTTAGCTCAGTTCTTTAAGTGGCTGCTTCAACAAAGCAGTCAGGCTCAGGTTGCTGTGGTTCGATCCCCACAACTCAAGCCAGTCAAACCTGCCCTGAAGGCATTCGGAGCAAAAATAAATAAATATTAAAAAAGTGTCTAATTTTTCTCATAGGGAATAATCCTATGTGAAAAAAAATCCTAATTTCAAATGTGAAGTAATTGATATGCAGAGAAACAGAGCAGCATCACAATTTAGTCAGATGAGAGAAAAGAAGGGATTCCAACTGTGACCTACCTCATTTCAAAATACTATTTCTACTATATTTTAAGAGGCCTTCACTATTTCTCTTTCACTTTTTCTTTTCTTTAATGTATCTTGTACAGGGTCTCACTATGCAGCTCAGACTCGTAGTGATCCTCCTGTTTCAGCCTCCCAGCTCTGGGATTACAGGAGTGTGCCACCACACCCGGACTCGGTGGCCAGCTCAGTGCACCCAGGGATAGGCCCAGGGAGGCATGTGGTGCTGGGAATCGAACCCCAGTCCTTGCACTTGCCCAAGCAGGAGTTTATCCTACTGAGCTATCTCACTGGCCCCTCTCTTTCACTTTTTGCATAACAAGTTTGGACCTCTTCCCATTTCCTTTCAGTCTTTGGGTGGTAATATTACTTTTTTAATTAATATGACCCTTCTCCCTGAGATGTGTTGGAGTCTGTCCACATTTACTTACATTTGTGATAGCCTTAAAAATGCAGCAGAACAGAGTCCAAGGCTCCAGCCTCCTGCTTTCCTTAATAGGTGTTTGCAAAGCTCTAAAGCCAAACAGTCATAGGTTCAAACCCCAGCTCTGCACACACTGGCTCCCGTGGTGGTTGCATACCCCTCAGCAGGCTCCGTACCCTAACTCCAGGAAAAAAGTGGCTTTACTCACCCACTTGATAGCTGGCCAGACAGGCGGCAAGGGCTGCAGTGCGCAGTGCATGGCCACTGCTGCGGAGGGGACCCCAGCACGGGTGGGGGGCTCAGTCATTCTCTGAGCCACAGCAGGGTCCCCTGAGTAGGAAGCTGCCCCCACCCCAACACACGTGCCTGGACGCGCGCAGGCACACTGCTTTGCAACACCCCTCTCTTCACTCCTGTTGCTTCCTCCAGCCCATTGTGGATTTTGCTTTTGCCTTGATGTGTTTTCATTCAGACGCGGGGCACCTTGCAGACACTCTTGTGGCTGCAGGAAACCGATCTATACCTCCTTATTATAAAGCCCAAAAGCCCAACAGAAAACAGCCACATGCACATCTCCATGTTTTTGCATAATATGAATGTTCAATAGAAAACCTCCTTGACTGATCATCCCATTAATCCTTGTAAAAGGAAGATCTGAAGCAATGAAGGCAAATTTTTAGCCCCTCCTCGACCCGCTCCGGGGCACACCACTGTCAGGTTACTCCCCATATTTCTCTATGAGTTTGAAATAATCTCAGAAATTAAGTGGGAAATAAGTATTCATAGAAAAGATTGTCACCTTGCAAAACACAAACAAAATAATGGCTGTTCTTACACAGTTCCTACTCACAGATGAAAATATTCGTCATACCGTGTAAAGCAGGTACACATGCCAACTATTTCCATGCACAACTACACCCCTAGCAGATTAGTTATCGCTGGTTACTTTCCCCAAGAGTTTGAAATATACACATCTCTACTCCTCTGGCTGAGTCATCCTATACAGTTAGTAGAATGGCTATAGACAGATACCAAGGCATGGGGCAAGTCTGGAGATGATGGGGGGCTAAAGGACTCTCTATCAGGGACCACACAGAATAACGTTCTCCACCCTCTTTCTCAAGCTACGATATATATTCATCATCCTCCAGGGCAGATTTACTTTAGCCAATCTTGCAAGACTGATTAATAAGTTCAGAGTTTCAATACACTGTTTTACAAAGAAATATCTGTCAAAGAAACAGCAGGCTGACTCCCTATAGGGAAACCTACATTGAAAATCAAATTATAATCACAGATTTACATGACTAGCAAGATGTGAGAAAAGAGGAGTTCCCAAGTACACTTGTTGAATGGTTTTTAATTAAAATAATTTTATTGGGAAACAAATAGCAATGAGACTGTTTCAAAACCAATTACTAGCACAGTTTCAATAATTACTACATTGCATATTGTTGTCTTAGTGGTTATTTGTTGTACAAGATGCAGACATGATATCCTGTCCACAAACACTATTAGAACAAATCTCTCTATTCATTGAATTAAGAGAATGCGGCTGTATAGCTATCCTTACTATTTTGAATATACAGATACAAAATGGTCGTTCATTTGTATCCCCCTTTTTTGTTTAGTTTTGTCTGAATGTTTAATAGTTCCAAGCTACATGGCCTAATGCCTACATCCATCTATACGCCAAAAGACCAGCCAATAAAAACAAAGTCCAAAAAATTCATTAGCCCAAACTCACTGTGCTCTGGCCAGCGCCTGTGTGCACAGTGTCCAAGTTTCCCCTGTGACTCTCCTATTTCTCCTCTTTAATGGCCTTCATCCACCCCTCTGGGAACTGAGGGTTTGTCTCACTAAAGGTGCCGATATACTCAATATTGCAGCAGGTCTTACAGGCCACGTCACCTGCAGAAGCAATTCTTCCGATTTTCTTAGAGCTCATAAAAGATTTTAACTTAGGTTGCGTCACATCATAAGCTCTTTCCAAGAGCCCACAGTACAATTCACGGTGCTGTTCGTCAGTGTACCTCAGGTCCCTTGAATGTGCAGTCCCCCAAAAGAAACTCATTGGTCTCTCTTAGGTAAAGAAAGAGAACTCACATTTGAAAGATGCATTAAACAAATCACGCACTTGGTGAATACGAGCATTCAGGGCCTGCTTTTCCACATTTGGCCAGAATTGCTTCAAGAAAATACCTCCAAGGTCACTCACCAATCACCATGTCCCCTACCTACCATCAGTCCCTTCCCCAAGTACACCAACAAGCTCATTTCCATGTTGCTCCAGCATATCCTAGTACCCACACGGGCATCTTTGTCTTCTCTTCTTCCCATAATGCTAACTATCCTAACCACTCTTAGTGAAGAACAGAAGTAAGTGTGTAAGTATTACTAAGATCAGTATTTATAGAAATACATGACACTTTGCTATTACAACAGCCCTGCAAACACTGGTCTCAGTGATGTCACAAGGTTCTGGGTGCCATAAATCTCACATACAGCCCTTGAAGGAAGACCTAGCCTAGTATGGCTAAGCGTGTTTCAACTCACCGCATACTGGAACTTTCCATTGTATTCACGATCATTGGCTTTCACAATTCGTTCCACTTCTAAAAAGAAAGAAATCAGATATGAAATTAAATCTTAGACCCTCAGAAACACATAACATTAAAATAACATCATTTAGATTACTTTGATTGCAATCTAATTTACAATAATTCTTTTGAAGTTGAAGGACATTAGCTTTTGCCAGCTGGAATGTTGGAACCTGTGTTGGAAAGTCCCAGAATGAAACCTGATATGTTTCTCATTATACTTTTGATGCCAGCCATAAAGCAAAACACTGTGTGCCTCCAAACCCTATGCCCTCTAGCGCCACGAAGATCTTTTCTTTAAATTTCAGGTAATTTCTGAAAGAGAAAGAGCCAGCAAAAGCAAAATGCACCCTGAGAAGGAAGTTTTTCAGAACCAAGGAAAAACAATACAAGGCAGGCACAGTGGCACAAGCCTGCTATCCCAGCACTGAGGGAGGCTGAGGCATGCGAAATTCATGGTCCAGTCTACCTGAACAATTTAGCAAGATTTTGCCTCAAAATAAAAATGAAACAGGATAAAGATGTAGCACAGATGTAGATCCCATGATCCTGAATTCAATCCCTAGTACTGAAAAAAGAAAAAAAAAAAAAAAAAAAAAAAAAAAAAAAAACAGCAAAATAAACATACAGAAGTAGCCAGTGAGGTCATGACCTTAGGGGCACACAGCCAGAGGTGATAGGCAAGACAATATAGATATATCAAAAAAAAAAAAAAAAAAAGCTGAGGCTGGGGGTATAGCTTAGCAGTAGAGCATGTGCCAACACAATTCAGGCCACTGGTTTGCTTCTTAGAACTTCAAAGTATAAAAGAAAATTTTAAAGAAAAATGTTATATGATTAAGAGGCCAAGATCTGTCTTTAAAAGTAGCCAAAGAATCAAGTCTCTTCTAAAAGCAAATGCAAATAACAGCACACATAATAAAATTAATAAACCACAAGCCCAAAGATTATGACAGGGCTCAAATAAAAAACTGCAAAGAAAAGGCAGTACCCACAAACACCAGAATGCTCTGCGGCGAAGGTGGCAAGCTCTTTCTCTGTCCCGCACTCCGTGTTGAGTGCGTGTCACCACCAGAGTTGATCAAAGAAGCTTCCTGAGAGATGAATGGAAGTTGTGGGAAGAATCAGCAAATAATCCCCCAGATGTCCATGTCAGGCTCTGTGGTAACTGAGCCAGTTCACGTGGGGCCCCACAATCCCACAGCTCTCTCAGGGGGTGACAGGTGTTAATGGAGAAGGCGAGCTAAGGAGACTGGAGCGAGACTGGAGCAAGAGGAGACTGGAGCGAGAGGGACTTGGAGGCCCATGTCAGGAACAAGAAGACAGGTGAGAAGAACAGGAAGCAGAAGGGAAATGGGAAAAATGAGGGCTCTGAGGAGGAAGAGAAGGAAGGAAGGAACATCCTGTACTTCAGCTCCCGCACCTGCCCCTAGGCTGGGCACCAGGAATTGTTAGAACTATCACTCCCCAAAGTCCAGGAGGGAGCCAAAAGTCTCTGTGGCTCCTGTAGCTCAACTCCATGGCTGAAGGTCACATCTGAGGGCTGCGCCGGACAAATGACATCTTGTGTTTTGGGTCCTAGTTAGGCATCTACACGTGTAGGGGCTCTTGTCTGTTTGGTGCCCATCTATGTGGTTTCCTTCTTGGCTGTCTAACAAAGCCAGCTCCCTGGGGTTGTTCCTGTTTTCCAATCTGATTCACCCAGCTGCTGTACTAGACTGATGTCAACAGCTGGCCCGCTCTGAGTGGGCTTGTCACTGTCATGTGTGACCCTGAAATTCACAACCCCCAGGAAGCAACCTCTCAACCACTCCCCTGAAAGTAAAGCTTCAACCACTGCCTATGAAAGCACAACCCTTCCTTTTTGTCTCTTCCCCCACAAAGAGCAAAAATGTCAAAGCCCAAAGTAGTCCTTTGGAGGGTGAGATGACTTAAAAGTGTCAACAACATAGACATCTATCCTTACCTCAGCCCAGGAACAGTAAAACTGTTGAGAAGAAAACAGTGACGACTGTTGGGAGGATGGGGACATGTTCTTCTTCCTGAGTGACAAATGTTGACCTGGCCTGCTGGCATGCTGCACACCATTCATAGATTAACTTTGGCTCCAAATCAAAATCCAGACATATGCCGATTTGAATGCGCACTGGCCCTCGCTTACTGCAAGCACATTCAGATGATGATCATTTCTAAACGCCACATTTGCATGAAGCACACCTGTTATGCTTTGTGTCTAGGTGTCCCCCAAAGCCTCATGCAGGCATGGGGCGGCTTCTGGAGGTTGTGATTGATTCTTGATCCAATGCTGGGATTGTGGGTGTCAGTGCCCTGGGCAGATACTCTGCATTACAATGTAAGGAGGGGAGAGAGGCTGGCTAGCTGCCTGAGCTGCTGCCACTCCTTTTGCTCTCTGCTCTTTGCTGCCATCCTGAACGGTTGCTCTGTGCCATGTGCCACTCTGCCTTGGAGCCAGCTGAGTGTGGACTGAAACTTCCAGTAATTGTGAGCTAAATAAACCTTTCCTTCCTTCATTTTGGGTGTCGGGTATTTGTCCTAGCAACGAGAGAAGAGTAACTGAGACAACACCCAATAGCAGAATTGCCCAGCTCTGTGCCCAATTTTACATACTCTAAGTATTGGAATCTTGGCCTTATAAGTCAAGTGGGAACTGTCTACCCCGCATCTTCGTGCAGCCATACACTTAATATGATTCCTATGACTGATTCCTGAGCGATTCCTCTGGTAGGTCTGTAATCCTCTTCTGGGTGTCTATCTTGCTCTTATTTCGAAAGACCTGGATCCAGGAAGTCCTCTTTCTGCTTGAGAACTCCTCTGATTCAGTCTTACTCTTGGCTTTTGTACATCCAATACAGTTCTTACTGAACTGAGCTTTCCAAGATTAATTTTGGCAGAAGATTTTTACATCCTTTCAGTAAGCTCTACAAAATTCAGGCATTTGTTCTAAATCCCTCCTGTTTTCTGCCCACAAGGTGACCTTGGTGGGCCCCAGATGTCTCACAGCAATTCGTTTTCTGCCATTCACTAGTACAGGGATGAGGGCCCAAAGTCCTCTCAACAATAAGTCGCATCCTTCAAAAAGGTGCCACAAACAAATCCCCCAAAGACTCCCGCACAACAGGCTCAGAGGTGTGATGACTTCGTGCATGGTGCTTTATCCAGATGTGATTTCAGTCAGGAGGGGAAAGTAGTCACCGAGGGGTGACCGATTTGTCAGCGTAACTGATGCCTGCGCTATCACTGAATTTGGCTCCAAAAAAGGAATAAAGACATCCGCTAGTACATATAAAACACAGCAAGCCTGCAGGCTAGGTACACTACAAGAAGTCAAAGCACCTCCAGCTTATGACGGCAAAATGAGTCCACTGTTCACCTGCCTTACTTCTGAGATTACAGAAAACGGAAAGGTCTTTTGAGAAGAGTAAAACATAACATTTGCTAGAAAACGAAAGTTTGGCTAAGAGATGTTGCATATTTCAAAGAAAGTATAGAGAACAAACTAGAAAAAAATGAGACCATTATGACTGGAGAGTGAGAGATAAGAATAACTTCTGCCAACAGCCCTGGAAGAGAGAATTTCCCAGCGGAGTCCCCGAAGGGTCCCCAAGTCAGGGTCAGTGAGCAGAGAAATGGAGAGTGTACTACGGACAGCGTGACAATCCCAGTTTCCATCTGTTTTCTCAGCAAAATAATAGCAGGTTCCCCTTTCGTTCCCAGAAGAATCTCAGTTTAGATGACAAATTCTATTATTGTTTTATTTATGGAAAATTATCTCAGAAGCCATTGATTCATTGCTTTCAGCTGTGTGATTCCCAATTTGTTCTGTGTTAGTGTCCTCTGTACTTTTTACGGGTGGGGTTAGGTTCTAAGGTTGCATTTTGTTCCTTCTCGTCATTTTGTGTAGCACTGTCTTCTGACCTTTGTTGTAGATCTTCGTTGTACTTATAACCTTAGCACCTACTGAAGTTCAGGTGCAGATCTACAATGTTTGGATTTATCCAGCTGTGCCTGGCTTGGGTCTGGCTGCTGTGCTCAGCTCCTTCCTGCTGCTGCCCTTGAGGGTGAACCTATTGTGCCCCTCTGGCAAGATTTTCTGCTCCTGGACTAGCTGGGTGGTTCTATCCTCTACCCTCTCTGTAGGGATTGCAGCTGCAGGGTTACACCCCAGGTCTGTATGCCAGGCCTGAGCTGAGCCTGGAGGGGACAAGGTGGAGTAGGGGAGAGAGGCAGCTCTCCCACACACTCACTGGACCTGGGCTAGGACTTTGTCTGGGTGTTCCCAGAACGTGGCAGAAATTCCTACTCGGCGGGCTGGGTAGGGGAACTGCTGCAGAGTGGTGGGGGGCATCCCAAGGGGGTGGAAGACGGTCTCACCCAAGCTATGCCTGGGCTGGGACCAGGAGTTGGTCCTGCCAGCGCAGGGTAGATGGAAGCTCTCCCACACACTCATAGGACCTGGGCTAGGACTGGGTCTGGGGGTTCCCCGAACATGGCAGAAATTCCTACTCTGGAAAATTATCAGGTAATTAAATAGTAGATAAGTCCGCCATGTCTTCCCACACACTATCTCGGCCCACTAAAAAGGGTAGGTGACAGACCAGAGAAAGAAGCCAAGAGGTGTCCAGGCCCAAGACAGAAGCTTCTCCAGCTCCCCGGGGTATCTCTGGCAGAGCTGGCCCGGCAAGCCCCACCTTACAGGCGGCTGTGGGATTTGCCAGGCTGCCTACACACCCACCAAACTTTCCCTGTCAGATGCCTCCCTGCAGAAGAAAGCTGGCAGGGAAACACCTTCGCCGCCACACAACCCATTTAGTGCTTCACCTGCAAAAGTGCTGGCAACCATAGGTCGCCTGAGGAAAAGTAGCAGCACGCAAGAAAGGGAACCTGAGGAAAACTGACAGCACAGAAGAAAGGAAGCCGAGGACCCAGGATGCCGCTGAAGACGGTGGGACGGGGCTGCCATTTCCTTTCCTCCTAATTACGACCTTGCAGACCTG